TCAGTAGATTAAAAATAATTTATTTTTAAAATAAAGGATTATTTAATAATTTAATCAAATAAAAGATAAATTAAGAGTATATAGGCATCATCTCGAATTAACAATGTTGTTTTATGTTTAAATACATATTGAAACCATTTGCCATTGGATAAAGGATACTTTTTAATATCAAAAAACTCATAATCTATTTAATGATATAATTTAATATAATCTAAATTATATAATATTTTCCTTTTTCCTTCAATATACTTCCCACAAAAAATTTGATAAATTTTTAAGTAAAAAGTGATAAAATGTTGAGGTTCACCCTCAAACTTTAATAAAATTGCTAACTTCATCCGCATTCATGGTTGTTTCGCATTTTTCCTTCCTGCGTTTCGCAACAAGACGAATCACCGTGGAGAGGACCGGGACGGTCTCATGACACACGGCCCAGGTGTGAATTTTAGTTTCCTCTTTGTCTGACGTATTTCTGGTATATTATTGAGGGACAGGTTTTCATTTTTTTTTTAATTCTTTTTTTCTTGTTCGAGATTACTTGTAGACTTGGTTTTTGTAAGTGCTTTGTTTACTTGAGATTTTGGGACTATAGTGATTTCTTGTGTTAGTGAATTGATGCCTTCTTGATCATGACTTGTTTTGTCTTTTGGTAGGGGGAGGTTGGTTGCAAGAATTTGGGTTCAGGACTTGTGATTGTTGATTGGTTTCAATTTCATTCGATGGTTTGTTAGCCATTCATTCATGTCCTGACAATCTAGCACTTGACTTGTGATTTTTGTTTTGCAAATGGTATTCATCTAAAAGTGAAAAATTGACCAAAGGTGATCCTTTCCAAAGAAAAGACTCAGCATTTCTGCTCAAACCTTTTCCTAGGAGCCTATCGAGCAAGTTAATTATAGTGAACATTAGAATTTTTTCCACTTTTTTTTTTCTAGAAAAAGATTAAGGAAATGCGGTATACAAGATTCATGGTCTTTTTATCCTTTTAGATTCTGAAATACCCATCATCCATGCTTGCTTCTTTTGCACCACCGATCCTGTTTTCCCAACATACTGTAACTTCACTATCTTTGGCATGTCCATTTTATTAAGCTCTACTCATAATTCTATTTTTCTAGTGCAACAGTTATTCTTATGCTTCAATATATGGATATACTTATCTTGAACCCACAAGCAGCAATCCCTTATGAAGGTGGGATTTAATATTCTTGATATAACTATCAAAAAACTTTTATGGTTGAATGCATGTTCATGAACAATTGACATTTGGATGGTTTGCTGATTGTTCTTTTTACATGAATAAATATGTCCTTAATGTGTTTCAGAAGGCTTTCCATTTTTGGTTTTTGTGCTATTGGCAGCAACTTGGTGGCTTTATGATCATTGATTCTTCCTATTTCTACTTTTCTACAAGGATCATGTCTTATTTAGTTTATTTGGATAAATTTTTAGGTGGATGTGGAGCCAAATCTGCCTATAGTGCGATGGCTGCTTTCAATAATATCTACCAAGCAATGGATTCTTATGAAGCTGAGCAGAATTGATGCAATGAAAAGGTTAGTGAGAAAGCAACCTTAAAGTTAACTTCTGTATGATTGCATCAATACCTGCAAGTAAGGATTATTCGCATGAGTACATTCTTATAAAAATAGTGATAAAGATTTCTTTAAATTGGTTTCTTAATTTGATTGTGTGGTAGGGAAATGGAGGGCAAGGCAGCATGGGGGCATAGATGGCTCTAGCACAATTGAAGCATCAGACAATGCTTTAGTTAATGCTTTAGTTTAGCAATTTAATTTTCCCGCTTAGAAAATGATATTTTCTGTTTAAGCTCACTAATTGATTTTATTGTTTTTGTTTTGTGGTGTATTGTACATAAAGTTTGAACAATGTAGTTGGTTTTTAATAGTAATAATCAATGTTTTTGGACCCGGCCCGGTGGTTGACCCGTTTTGACCACCGGGTCTGGTTTAACCGGTTGAATCGGTTCACTCGACCGGTCCAACCGGTCAACCTAAAAATACACTTTTTTCAATTTTTGACGATATGTTCGATGAGCTGTTGCAGATTCTGATTTCTGCTGCTGCTTCTGCTCAGTGGAGGCAGGAAAAGAAGAGGAGCGGTGGAGGAGATGAGGCAGATGAGGACGCCATGATCGACGGAGGACATGAGGAGGAGATGAGGCAAATGAAGATGCCGTGATTGACGGAGGAGATGAGGAGGAGGGGGTGCTCGACGGAGGAGATGAGGTAGATGAGGATGATCTGTTGATTTTGTTCTGTTTTTCTGTGTTGCTCGGCAGAGGAGATGAGTGATGAGGAGGATCGGCTGGACGCTGAGTTGTGTTGCGGTCGACGGAGGTGGCTGAGATCTGGAGCTCGTCGATGGTTCCTTCTGTTTCTCACTCCTTTCTTCTGTTCTGGGTTTTACAATTTGCAGAGAGTTTTCTTTATTTCTCCATGTCTAGATGAGGCTGTGACTGCTGGTGAGATCTTGACGGAAGTGGAGCAGGGAGATCAGGCCACTTTGTCGGAGGTGATGAGGTGGTGACTGTTGTGGTGAGATGCCGATGAACTCACGGGAGATGGAGCAGGGATGAGGCAGAGGGATGGCCCGGCGGGTGGGACGGGTTGGGAGTTTGGAGCGGGTCTGGCGAGTCTGGCGGGCTAAAGCGGGCCAACTTGCAAAACGGGCCAATGCATGAAACCGGCCCGTTTTTAAGCTCGGGTCCGGTTCAACCGGTTCAACCGACCGGGCCGGGCCGGGTTTTAAAACCATGGTAATAATATCTCTCTTTTTTGGCCAGAAAAATCATTTATCTTAACATGCCTATCAAAAAATGTTTCATTTATTTTGTCTTATTTATGTAATTTAAATACATGATATTTCATTTTTTAATATTAAAATATAAACATTTATTTAGTATTTATATTTTAAAATATGAAAAATCAATTTTTAAT